CCTACTTTGGAGACCTGCGAATCCGCGGCGCTCGGTTCGCTGGAAGCCATCTCGGCTCATGGATGCTCTATGGAGCCTCTCTCGAACTGGGATCTCCCACTAGTGGTGTTCGTGTACTCCACTCGAAAGAGTCCAGGGAAGGGAGAGCTCCTACCGTGAGGGGAGATCGCGTGTCATCGATTTCTACTGCCCGCGATGTTTTCACTACCTGGCCGCGAGCTGTAGTGGTCGATGTGAGTTCTGAGTGGCCCCGCACCCACCTGTTCGAGGACCCAGAAAGCACGGGCGCAGTCATGACGACCAACTCGCTTCCGGCTCCACGGAAAAGCAGCTCTTCGAGGCGCAGGCCGTGCGCTCTGAAGGGCTCCAGCTATCGGTACTTGGCGTCTGCTGAAATGCCCGACTACGAGGGCCTCAGAGACGAAAATAGGAAGAAGAGGGAGAAGCTGAGACCTTTTGAGATGGGAAAAGGAGTCTCGGCGTCCTCGGCGTCTTCTTCAGTGCCTCTTCCAACGTTGGAGTGCTTCTTGGTTCCTGTCGCAAAGAAGTCCAAGAAGGAGGAGCCCAAGAAAGAAGAGGGTCCTAGCCAGGAGGATGCTGCAGCCGTCAGAAGGAAGAGCGCGGAGTCGGCAAAAAAAACAAGGGAGGCGATGAGCGCGCTGCTGGCTGACAACCCTGGCTGCGAGGTGGTGGAGCTCTCGCCGAAGAGGAAGAGGGAGAAAGTCCAATTCGGAAAGCCTGGGCCATGTCCTAAATGAGCCCTGCGCTGGAACAGCTTCGCAGTTGAGAGTCACGTGGCCTTCAGCGCTGATGACTCGAGGAGCGAAGCTTGCTTGGGTTTTTGGAGTCGTTTAAACACAGCTGTGAAGGCTCGAAGCTGCCATAGGGAACGGTCGGGTTGGCCGTTTGCCTTCCGACAGCATGCTCCCAAGTGCAGTACATCGCAGCTGGCTGGAGGAAGCCCTTTGGCTCGGAATGCAAGACTGCTGGGGGGCGCAAGTGGCTGCACCGAGCCAGGGGCCGCCAGCTGCGTGCGGAGAACGACCCGTCATGTCGGCCAAGGGGCGCATCGCCACGACTCATGTCCGACGAGGAGAAGCCCAAATAAGCTCGGTATCAGTGTTAGTCTGTAGGTGCGGTAGTGGCCTTTTTAAGTGGGTAGTAAGTCCCGAGGGTATGCTACACTTTACAGGCTACGCCATGCTGAGTGATGAGCTGCTGAAATAACTGGTGGGTGATGTGCTGCTCCTGACCTTTCCCTGGGTTCCAGGTCGTGAGCTCACTGAAAACACGACAGCTTAGTTCGTCTCTGTGTCAGTCCTCTTTAACTCACTAAACCGCGCTGCCTCGTGTGCCATGACCTTTGCACTGCTACAGCCCCCGACACAGCTGTACGCGGGCCTGGATGTTCATGGCTTGTGGCGCTTCCTGTCAGCACTGGATGCACAATCGGCGTCGTACATTGCGGTGCACCTGCTGGCTCAGATTGAAGCCCTGCGACACATGGGAGAAGAGTTTGTGGCATGCCCACTTGTGCAGGCATATTGGCGACATCTGGACCGTGTCTGCATGTCAAGGTACTCTGAGATCAACTTGCGCACTTTCGAGGACCAAGATGAAGCGCTGCAGGAGATGGTCAGAGGCCTGTGCTGGAGGCTTAAAGTCCGCACGTGGTTTCTGCACGCGGACTGGAAGCTAGCTAGACAATCCTTCGGACTATCTCCGAGGCTCCAGGCTGGACCTATGAACTGAATAGTCTTTCGACCAGCATGGCTCCTGTGGGAACAGCTGACGGATGAGGTACATTACAGTGCGTATAGGAGCAGCTGACAGATGAGGTACTTTACGGTGCATGTTGCAGCCAACAGGAATAGTGAGGAGCTTGTTTTTCGTGAACTACCTGGGCAATGGGAACTATGAATGCAGTAATTCGGGAAGAGTTTGGCGATATGGTTTCTGGGAAGCTCCTGCTGAAAGACCTCAAAAACAATTTGGCGGGATGGGAACTATGTTGCGAAATCAAGAGAGTACTGCAGAATTGATTGGGAAGCTCCTGCTGACAGACCTCAACCACAATTTGGCGGGATGGGAACTATGTTGCGAATTCAAGAGAGTACTGCAGAATTGATTGCGAGGGATGTGTGATGAATCCAAGTGAATGATGCTTGAATTTGGTGCCAGTCTAAATTGCCGATCCTGGGACACTGGTATGGCACTGCATGTGGCACAGACAAGTACATTGCATGTGAAGAGTCTGAACCTGCATGAGCGTGTGTATCTAAGCATGTGTTCAGCACTGTCAGTTTGTAGCAGCGCTACCTTACCCAGTCCTGCTTCATAACTTGTTTACTATCTAACTTATTGCTATCTTTTTTCTTTTTCTGTTGTGCCTGGGAAGAGGTATGTAGGTGAGAGATTTCGCTTTTGAAACAACGAGAAATGGCTCGACTTCAACCCAGTCAAGCAAGTTGTGTTGGTCATTTGTTGATTATTGTTGTTCTTTCTTAGTGACGTGTTTTTGCGTACGGCAGCTGCTTGACTGACTCCTAGCAAAGTGGAGACCGAACTATGCGGAGCCTTGCCGGCCTTGTGCGAGTGTGACAGTCGAAACTCTAAACCCGCTAAGGGTCCCTGAGCCCTAAACCCTAAACCCATAAGCCCGAAATTTCGGGCTTAGGGTCCCATAGGCCCTAAACCGTCAAGAAAAGTTCAGGTATACGCCCAGGGGGAAGGCGAAGGATTCGGGTGTGGGAGCTTCAAGGTTGGGGTTATGAGGAAGCTACTTTTAATGACTTAATGTTTCTGAATTTACCTTTAGAATAGGGTTTGGGGGTCTATTATACTATAACTATAGTAAGGAGCCCTCAAAGGCCCACTCTAATTATTAAAACCCCTCCATTATTCTATAAGAGACTTCAAAACACGGTTCTACAGGAGTAATTCTTCCGATAGGCCTATTTATTTGCATAAAAAAGGGGCCTTCATAATTACCGATACTATTTTGTGGAATATTTTGGGAGTTCCTTATTGTACATACAGTGGAATAATATGCCCCAAAAACACTATTCTAATTCTTAAGGCCCCTATATTATATTGTTTTGCATGGCTTTTTGCATAGAGGAGGCCTTGTGAGTTGATGTTTTTTCGCACAGCGGGTCGCCCCCAGGAGCCATGGACCCCAAAAATAAGGTGCACCCGGTGGCACTTCGGGAAATCTGCTGATTTCTCTTATGGTCTTATATGGGTTTCGATTCCTGAATATTCCGGGGCTGTCAAACTCCCCCCCCCCATAAAGCCTCAACGCTCCTGCGAAGCTGAGGCAGCTGTCGCGAATCTTATTAGCACGAGACTGAGTGAGCTGCAGCTGTACAGTATTGAAATCAGGGTCAGCAGCTTCCAAAGGCTAGTGGATTCAAGACCTTGGGTTTTAGGATTCAGGGTTTCAGGGGCCATTTAAACGGGTAGAGCATCGAGACTTCGTCTCTTTCCAACACCTGAACCCTTTAGAAGAACTCCAAGCCCTAATGTTGAAGCCTGCATAATAACAGTAATGGTCGTAGCCATACTTGTGCCAAGAGTCCTAAATTCATTCCTTCCCACTACAGCTGTACTAGTAGATTAGATACCGCACAACCCTATTTTAGTCTAGTTATGCAGGCCCCTACTTGGAGGATCATGGGACGTAGTAAGTTTGGTTATAAGTCCCCTAATTGTGGTTATAAGTATAGTTGCCTTAATTATAACCCTACTTACTAAGTCCCATGATCCCTAAACCCCAAACCCTAAACCCTAAACCCTAAACCCTACTTACTAAGTCCCATGATCCCTCAAGTATATACTTTAAAACTCCCTCTCCTCCCTTCCTCCATTCCTTGGTTTTCCGCCTCGACTCCAGTGGCCGTTCCGGCGGCGGGGGGGGGGGTTCTTGTGGGGTTTTTGAGGGGGTTTAGGGTTTAGGGTTTAAGGTTTAAGGTTTAGGGTTTTTGAGGGCACAGTCGGCGCCTCGGTTCCTGGCATATATGCCTTAGTCCAGGTGTACAAAAGGGTTTTTAGGGGCCTCAACGGTCAGCGCGCAGTGTTCTCAAGGCAAACAAACAAGCATTCGAAGTCCCTTCGTTCTTGTAACTTGGTGACGCTCCCAACACACAGCCAATGCTGTGAAGTAAACCCTGAGCCCTAAACACTAAGCCCTCGAGCGGGCCTGAATTTCAAGCCGGCAGCGGCTTCAGTGCAAATCGTGCCACGTGCATAGGAACCTTTTTGCTATGTTCTGGCTCGAGAACCTGCCCAGGACACCAAGCACGAGGCCTTAACATAATATAGAAGCCTGAATAATTACCAACATCATTGCATTTATTTTCCGCATATACTCTAATGTACCCCAAGACACTATTCAAACTATGAAGGCTCCCAAAAACCAACTTATCGAATCTCCCTACCTTCCCTAAACCCTAAACCCCTAAACCCGTAAACCCGTAAACCCTAAACCCCTAAACCCTAAGCCCCTAAACCCCTAAACCCCCCTAAACCCTAGTCAGTCCTTCTGGCAGAGTCAGAAATTCCCCCGTGCCGAGAGCCGAAACACTCAACCTCTCAGATCCAAATCTTCTCAAGATCCCGTCCGGAACCATTACCAGGGTTTAGGGTCTAGGGGTTTAGGGGTTTAGGGTTTAGGGGTTAGGGGTTTAGGGTTTAGAGGTTTAGGGTTTAGGGCTTGAGAGGCGACCGACTCCAGGCGAAGTACGAAGCCTGTTGCAAATAAGGGTTTAGGGGTTTAGGGTTTATGGCAGTCATCAAGTCCGGTTTCAAAAGGGTTTAGGGCCCGGGGGCCCAACCACCCCAATGCAAGCCTTGAAGAACCACCTAATGCAGGGCTCTCTGTAAGTAGAAATGCTAGCCGGTCCCGGAATATAATATGGAAAACTATACATTTTTTGGATTTTATGATAGAAAATTCCGTCGTGCATGGTCAAATATAGATATTAATTTCCTGTGGAGCCATGCGTGGCATCATTTCGGCTGGGATGTGCTGGCTGCTTGCACACAGCGTGGCGTCCCCAGCGGTTGCGGGGGCGGGGAGTAAAGGATTGCACTGTAGAGTTTGGCTTTGCCGAGTTCGCCGAATGAAGGCATCTAGAAAAATTCGATTGTGCACTTGCCTACAAAGACTTCTAGGGGATCAAAGCGGTTTTTACGGAGTCGCACATGTTTTAATCTGGTTACGGCTCAAGCCATCCGTCAAAGCACAATTGTCTCGCTTCCCTTTCCTCCCTAGACCGCAACCAAGCGCCATGTCGCTCCGTCGTGGTGTGTTGGCTCTGGCCCTGCCTGCCTTGGCAATGCTGCTTGCTGGCTGTGGTTGTGAGCGTGATGGCATGGTCACATGTTTTGTCGACAAGCTCTCGCAGTCGCACGAGACTTGCGGCGAGACAGCCTACAGCAAAGTCATGAGTGGCGAAACAACCGTGGCCGACTGCTGCGCGGCGATCAAAGCAGTGCAGGATTGCTACACGGTTTGTTCCTGTGATACGGAGTGCGCAGATCAAGACCAGGCCACATCCTGCCCAACAACAGGGAAAGTCAGTGACCCCATCGGGTTTTGGCAGTTGATCCTCATAGGCCTGAATAAGGATGGCGAGACCTGTGCCACAGCGGGTGTAACGGGCACGAAGTGCTGAGTTTCTGTGCGAGATACCTGGGCCACAGGGGCTTTTGTGCAACATAGGGACCTCTATGCTCAGCGCTAAGTTTCTTCACACTCGATCTCCTCTGGCCCATGAAACTGAGTCCTATCTAAGTGTTTTACACGTGAAATCCTAAGGATTTCACCCCACACTTGCTAAGCACATGTTGCGTCCTGGACGACTTATGCCTGGCGATGAAAGAAGATTCTGCGACAGACTATGTGCCGAAACTGCATGGGGATCTTACGGGAGAGCCGTTTGGAGAGCTCTGTGTCCGAACACCACAGCCACAAACCGTCACTTTAAAAAGCGTTATGTTATTGTATAGTAGATTATACTACTATAGATACTGGTATGTTATATCAAGCAGGGTATCTTCTTTTATATAGTTTTATATAGAAGCCACAGAAGCCCGAATGACTGTCTGGTGCTTTCCCTAAAATCCTAAAACCCTGAAACCCCAAAGCCCTAAAGCCCTAAAACCCTAAAACCCTAAACCCTAAACCCTCCGAATGAAGGCTCTAAGGTTGAACCCATGGGCCTTAGTATGGGCCCTTAGCCCTGGGACCCTTTATACCTATTATATACCCTGTATGAACCCTTAAGGGACCCTAGAAAGGCCTAAGGGTCCATATTAAGGGCCCATACTTTTAATCTTGGAAAGCTAAACCCTCGAATGAAGGATCTTAAGGGACTATCATAGGGATCCATTCCCTCATTCCCTACTAAGCCACAGAAACCCTAAACCTAAACCCTAAAC